AAATGGGCCGAAGATTGAAAATCATGAGTGGACTTTGTTTTGCAAATATTCAATCACATGAATTGGCTTTTGATTGCTGCAGAGACTTGGAAAATCAAGTGAACATGGGCTTAAGAATTGGATTTTGGTTTTCTTTTGAAAATCAAATAAATCAAAGGTGGAGATTGTTGCTTGGGGCTCAAGACAAATCCAATGGCTCATATTCATTGAAGATTACTATAAATAGGGGTAGAGAGTGAGGGGTTAGAGGTGTGAAAATTTTGTAAACTCCTTTTGGAGAGGAGGGCTACTCTTAATTGAGAAGGCCTTCCAAAAATTGTAACTTTAGTTGCAATTAATAAAAATAATTTTTTCCTCTTTAAATTTGTTCTTTCTCCTCTTTGTTGAATGATGAGGATGGAGATGAAGAGCAATTTGAAGGTTTGCATTTCTTTTCTCTTTTATTTCTTTTTAGTAATTTCTTTATTATTGCTTATTAGTTAGATTTAAATTCATGCTTGTAGTGTAGATTTATTTTCTTGTCTTTTTATTTCTTTTTGCACTTTAATTTGTAGAGTAGATTTATTTTTCTTGCATTTAATTTCTGCAATTTATTTTGTAGTTTAGATTTTTATTTTCTTTGTAATTAGATTTATTTCTTGTTCATAGTTTAGATTTTTCTTTTCTTATTTTTGTAATTAGTTCCTTTTCTTCTTACTTTTATTTCTTAAGATGTGAATTTAATTCTTGTAAGAATCTTGGAATTGTATGAAACTAGTCTAATTTCCTTTATATTGTATGAATTATTCTCTTGCATTTAAAATGTTCATGTTTAGGATAATCAGCTAGAGAACTAATCGGTAGAAGAAGAATTTGATAATCTATGCTTTCCTTAAATGGTTTGATAGGTTATGCTTATGAATTCTAGGATTATTATCATGTTGTTGTTCTTATCATGAATAGTAATTTTAACTTAGATGATAATTTGATAGGTTACACTTTCCTTAAATGGTTTGATAATCTATGCTTAATAAATCTAAGTTGAAATATGATAAAAAGAGAATAGTTTATGTTTTGTAATTGAAATTGCTTAGTGGATTATATTCTAGATTTCTTACCTCTTTTGAATCCTCCATCTTGACTTTCTTAAATTTTCTTTTCATTTTTGGTTTTATTTCTTGATTTTATTAATTCATATTTCTTGCCTTATGATTTCATTTATTCTTTAATTCTTCCTTCTCTCCTCTAAAATTCAATTTATTACCTCTTGCATATATTCATAACAATCACTCAACAAAATCACACTTATTCTTTATTCTTAATTGTCATGCACAAAACATAAGAACCATTTCTAATAATCTCTTAAAATCACCTTCCTCGTGGGATCGATATTTTTTATATTATAACTTGATAAATTGTGCACTTGCAATTTTGATACATAATTATGCCGCATCATCGAATAACCTGTAAGCTTTTGTCTTCTCGTCATAACCGATGAAGACATACTTCTTGCTCTTATCATCTAGTTTGGTTCTTCTTTGATCTGGTACGTGCGCGTACGCTACACTCCCGAATACCTTTAAGTGTGATACGGTTGGTTTCTGTCCGCTCCAAGCTTCCTGCGGTGTTTTATCCTCCAGTTTTGCATGTGGACAGCGGTTTTGCACATACACAGCACACTGCACTGCCTCTGCCCAGAAATTTTTCGGCATCTCTTTGCTCTTCAACATTGACCGAACCATGTCAAGAATAGTCCGGTTCTTCCTCTCGGCCACACCGTTTTGCTGAGGTGAGTAGGGTGCGGTTAAGAATATCTTGATCCCATGTTCCTCGCAATAGCTCGTGAAGGCGGTTGACATATATTCTCCGCCTCTATCTGACCGTAGAGCCTTGATATAAAGACCGATCATTTTCTCTACTAACACCTTGAATTTCTTGAACGCCTCGAGTGCCTCAGATTTTTCTTTCAAAAAATACACCCAAGTCTTTCTTGTGTAATCGTCAATGAAAGTAATAAAGTACCTCTTCTCACTAAATGATTTAGGTGTGATCGGACCACATATGTCGGTGTGTATCAACTCGAGAGACCTCCTTGCACGATATTCAGCCTTCTTTGAAAAAGTATTCCTCGCTTGTTTGCCGAGCACACATCCCTCGCAGAATTTCTTGATGTAATCCATGTCTGGTAGCCCGTGTACCATATCCTTCTTTGCTAATTCTCTTAGGCCGCCGTAATATAAGTGTCTGAACCGTAGGTGCCACAGCGAGGCTTTATCCTCCATGTTAACTTGCAAGCACCTTTCTTGCACGTTTCTCAAGTTGATTTGAACATACGATTCTTGGCCATCTCCACATGTGCAAGCAACCGACCTGTTTTGTCCTTCAAATGCAACATCCTGTCTTTCATAAAAACTGAATATCCCTTCTCCATTAGTTGCCCCTTTGTCCTTCAAATGCAACATCCTGTCTTTCATAAAAACTGAATATCCCTTCTCCATTAGTTGCCCCATGCTAAGGATGTTACTCTTCAATTCGTCTTTCATAAAAACTGAATATCCCTTCTCCATTAGTTGCCCCATGCTAAGGATGTTACTCTTCAATTCAGGCACATAGTAAACATTCTCAATCGACCCTTCTTTACCATCTTTCTGAAAAAAATAGATTTTACCTCGGCCCTTGACTTGAACCTTCGACGCATCTCCAAATGACACGTTCCCATCCTCTATCTTTTGCATCTCCACAAAGAGGTGTTTGTGCCCGCACATGTGATTACTAGCGCCGGTATCGAGGTACCACACCGTGTCGCTGTCGGGAGTAGTGTCCTTGCAAGCCATCATGAGAACACCGTCGTCACTTGTTTTCTCTTCCGCAACTAGATTCACATTTTCTTCCACCTTTTTCTCGGAATAGCAATCCTTTGCATAGTGCCCATACTTGCCGCAATTGTAGCACTCTACACTTGAATAGCACTCCTTTGCGTAGTGCCCATACTTGCCGCAGTTGTGACATTCGACATTTGAACGATTTGACCGGCCACCTCTCCCACGACCACGTCCTCGACCACGCCAATTTTGTTGGCTCGGCTGGCCCTTTTCTTCATAATTATTTCCACATCCGCGGCCTCCACCACGACCAAAACCGCGACCTCCACGGCCACGTCCCCTTCCTCGGTTTTGCTGTGTGTACATCGCCTTGTCCTCCTTGATAGTTGCTTTAGCTTGTAAGGCCTCCTCGTGCAGCTCTTGTTTCTTCTTCTTCTTCCGTTGTTCATGCGCCTCAAGAGAACCAGCGAGATCATCGACAGTCATATCTTCCAAATTTCTCGACTCCTCAATTGCACATACAACATTCTCGAAATTCTCGGTTAATGACCGTAGAATCTTCTCCACAACCCTTGCCTCAGTTAGGGTTTCTCCGTTGCGTTTGAGTTGACTCACCACTGTTTGCACACGCGTGATGTAGTCGGATATTCCTTCTGACTCCTTCATCTTCATGGCCTCCAACTCGCCTCGAAGAGTTTGAAGCCGCACTTGTTTAACTCGGTCAGCGCCCTTGAACACCTTCTGCAAAGTGTCCCACGCTTCCTTTGAAGTTGCCGCACCAGCAATTTTCTCGAAACCGGACTCATCCACTGCTTGGAACAATAAATAGAGAGCGGTCTTGTCTTTCATACGCGTTTCTTTCAACGCCTTTATCTGATTCACGGTCTGATTGGCCGTTGCTTCCGGCTCTTCATAGCCGACTTCGACTACTTCCCATGCATCTTGCGCACCAAGCAACGCACGCATCTGAATACTCCAGTTATCATAGTTTGTCTTGGTGAGTCGTGGCAATGGTATCTGCCCCAGCGATGTACTCCCTGAATTCACCATAGCTCTGATACCAATTTGACAAAAACAGAATGCTAATGAACAAGAACAGATGACAGAAACGTGCAGGTTTCTGATTGCTGAAGAAGAGGAAATAAAACAAGAACAAATTGAGCTTTTCTATCAACTCTTAATCATATATTTTCCTTCTCTCTTATTCCTCTTAACCGAGTACAACTCTATTAATAATCTCTGGAAAAAAAAACTGTAAACAGAAAACTAAACTAAACAGAATTCTAAGACCTGAAAACTAAACAGAGTTCTTATCTCCAAACAACTTAAAAAATAAACTGACAATGTTTGAGTTTATCCTTTAACAGTATTCACTTTGGGGGATGGAGTCGTTCACAATTTCACTTAAAAATATATGTATCCTATTTTAATCAGTAATTTGTTAGTAGTGTCACTGCAAGTACAATTCCAATCTCTAGTTAGATGAAAGGGGGGCAACATTAACCTCTCAAAAAGGTAGAATACTAATAACTTACAACCGCTAGATAGTTATCTGTCACTGGTGTTATGTCAATTTGATTCAGCAGCATTTACAACTTTTTGGTTACAATTTTCAAACCTATAACAGTAGGTTGTAAATCTAACTAACCCTGTAACATTATAACAAGCGCTAGATTCACATTGAATATAAATGCTGGTGGTTTCGTTGTAACTTTTACAAACTCAAAAATTTTGTGCAACCAATAATCAAGGTATCTGCTGCCTTTGAAAAAAACTGGAGATCAGCACATTCTATGTGCATAGATACTACTAACTAAAGCATTATCTTGGCAAACACAAACCTTCCTGTTGCACTGAATCTACTTTATGCACCGTTTTAGAATTTAGTGTACTAATTAGTTCATGTTTGGGTGATGACTCTATCTCAACCCTGATTACCAACCAAAAAAAAAATGGCCGGTTTTGATGCACTGGGTAAAGAAAGAAAATTTAAAACGAAGAAGATTATAACCTTACATTCAATGAAGTCAAGCTTCTGCTCGCTTTCGAGAAAAAGAAATGGTACCTTTGATGATATAACATTCTTGAGTTCCTTGAATATGGTTACAAGAAATGAGTCTGAACAGGCTTTCAGAGCATTACAAGAAATGAGTCTGAACAGGCTATCAGAGCTGACTGTTATGCTCTAGAGCAGTAGCAACAAGGGCTTTTACGCATCCATATAACATAATATATATTTCTCTTTGCATAACATAATATATATCTAGCTAGTTATTGAGCTTCTCAAGTTTCTTGGTATTAGATACGGTCATGGGATTATTCAGGCTCTCGATCCTCCGGGACTGCTGCGAAATTATACTTGCCGTTGTCGGGCAGTCTTGGAAAACAACTTCATACCCATCTCTGAAGTTATCCATTCCTTGGCCTAGATACTGCCAGAAGAGAGCACCGGAGCAAGCACCACCAGATCTCGCCGATGCATAGATTGTGTTGTATGCAGCCCAATAGTATGCATCTCTCTGAGCTGAGCTGAATTGCTTCGATGATCTTCCAAACTCTGTGATCATGAGTGGTTTTCCTAAGGATCCCGCATCTTGTGTATGTGATGTAATCCAACTCTGGAGGAATGTTGTTTGTGCATTATCATCAGCACCATTGATCCTGCATTAACGTAATTTGTTATGTTTTGAAAGGTAAACTTATGCAAGTTGTTGTTTGTGAGGGTTATATGTGGTTAAGATGGGTGCATATACTGTATAGATATAGACGATGCGTTGTTTTTTGGCACTTTTTTTGCACTACTAAGTGCAAAAAAATTAGGATAGCTATAAAAGAGGCTAGGCATCCTCTATATCTTTGACTGTGGATAGATCCTAAAAATTTCCAATACGGACCAATAACATCTTCGATTGCTGAGAAATTCTACAATACTGTTATGCCAACTAACGAAATCTCTACTTTGTGGGTAACCTACAACTGTAGAAATTTGGTACAACCAAGGATTCAGAAGATTCATTATCAATTTTAAACTTCTTTTGCAGCATAGCATGCTATAGAAACTAAGGATACTCACCATTGATCAGGGTAGATGTGAATTGTAGTGAAATCAATTTGAGAGATCTGATTGTTGGCGATGAAATCAGACCCAACTTCATAACCAGGATTGTATTGTTTCCTGTCAGGCCTTGAATCCCCATAGAATCCTTCTAAGCCAGCTTCAAGCATGTGGTTGCTATCAATCGATTTCACATAACCGGCCATTTCCGATATCCAATTCTATAACGCATTCATAAGAAAAATTATCAAAATTTTTACAATATAGCACAAGTTTTGTCCATGTAAATTTTGTACATATTCTTTATTTTAAACCTGTAGAGTTGCACCAGAGTAATCGCTCTGGCAACGGGGTTCGTTCATGAGCTCCCATGCAAAGATGGTAGGATCATCCTTGTACATTACTCCTGTTATCGAGTTCACCCTTGTGAGAATAGCCTGAATCATGGAAATAATAAGTAAAAAGAATACCAAATAGATTATTACGAATTAAGGAAGATTTTGTGTGTGTGTGTGTGTATTACCTTGATATGGTTCTTGTAGAATTGCTTTGTGGGATAACTTCTGAAGAAATCATCATCAGAATTCAACCACTGTCCTTGATCCCTAGCCCACTGCACATACTGCTTCTTTCCTCCATATCCCTCCCAGTTATTCACCAAACTGAGAATCAAATAAACCCTATTTCTCTTTGCCTCTGAAATTACAAAGTCCAATGCCTATAAATAAAATATGTTAGAATATAAAATACAACCATCAACACTCATCATAACTTAAAGAGTTTTGGTGTACTAACACAGTCCTTTGACAAAATGCACCCCACAAAAATCAATAATCAAACCTGAAAATTTGTAATCTCTAGCTGTATATTCTGTTATATACCTTGAACATATTCTCATCATAATTTCCAGGAGAAACCTGCAGAGCCCTGTAACCTCCATCACTGAAAGCCCAGGTTCTGACAACATTAAGTCCATAACTTGCCGCTTGCTGAAATGCATTGGAAACTTGATATCTTGTTGTCGGGTCCCCTGCCATGTACATCATCCAATAAGCATTGAACCCATTAGCATAGAATGGTCGCCCGTCCATCATGAAGTGGGTCCCACTGGCCGAGGCGAAACCCCCGTTATTGGATGATTCGGCATTGCCAATGCAGGGTTTGAGAACAAGTAGAGCTAAAAGAAGGAAACTGCAAATGGCTTGTTTGCTCATTGTGGTTGATTGTTTGTTGTTTGAGGAATGAGAGAGTTGGGAGGATTTGAGTTGAGAATGTTGGGGGGTTTATATAGAGTTTTAGGAGCAGGCAAGAAAACAAAAACAGGGTTTCCAATTTTACTGCTGAAGATTTGGTGAGAGTGAAGTAGAGGACATTGAGATGCACATGAGCACCGAAAAAGGTGGTTAGTTGAAAATTTTCTGTTAATTTTTTTTTATTATAGTGGAGACAGTTGTTATTTTAAAGAAGGGACTGCTTGTTGATTAACTGACTTGAGTTGAGCTAGAATTGCGAGCTCATGCTTGTAACTTTTGAAAACTTGAATTCTCTGCTTATTTCAAGGAAAACGATAAGTTACTTAAACATCCTAATTATGAAAGTACATATACAGAAGATGATCATACTATGATGTTTAATACGTTCTACCTCTGGATCTTGAGCATCCTAATTATGTGATTTGTTTTTGTAATAATTTCTTCACAAATTGTGCATCATATATATAAAAGAGAGTCAAGTGATCAGTACCCTTTAACAGAATAAAGTAGATCACATTATCCTATTTAGGTGCAATTTTGCATAAATAAAAATAAAAATAAAAAAACAGAGATTAGAATAAATTACATAACAAAATAAAAATAGGTAAAAGAGGTTCTGAACATGTTTTGCGTCCTCAAATAGTGGCAGATGATCGTCTTTAATTAGAAAAGAAGAGAAAATTAATTACCGATCTCCAAACTATTATGTCACGCAGAATACACAAAAGCCAAGCCATCAATGATGGATTGAAACTCTAGAATAATTTTCTCAAAACAGAATTCCCCAAGAAAATACTTGTTCACTATGTTTTGGGTACATAGTCTTAGGGCTCTGACCACGAGTGTCCAACTTCGCATAACATAAATGCCAAGAAATATTTATTAAATATAAAAATATAATCTTTACTATAACTGCGAAGTCTTGATATAATAACATGTTGGGGCGGAGTCACGCCCACTGCCGCAGAAGCGATATCACCTGAGAGATAGCACTGGCTATTGTTGTCACAAAAGTACAAGTCAACCTTTATATTATTGTTTCTCAAAGGAAACTAGAATAGATAGTGAAATTCTTATTTCTCAAAGGAAACAAGATTCGAAAATGATATATTTCATCAAAGTGAAATATACACTCTTCCTCTCATCAGTTCTAGGACTGAAATATCGAGGGAACCTACAAGCTATGGCAACTTACAGATAATACAAATACAAACACGAGATTTACGTGGTTCGGCTAACTAGCCTACGTCCACGGGAGGGGGGTTTTTCACTATGAGGAAAAATACCAAACTTTACAAGTTCTCTCTTCCTTTCTTTCTTTTCTCTCAAAAAACTCCTCTTGAGATTTTTACCCCACTAATTTCTCTACACCCCACCTCTCTATTTATAAGCGAGGAAAGGGGGTTGAACCGAAAAAATCAGGCGGGAGAAGAAGTGCGCGCGGGGGAGAAAAATGAGAGCTCGAGCACGAGCTCTGACGTGATGTTGTGGGCTGGCGAGGGCAGACGAGCGGCGCGGCATGATCTCGAGGACGAGCGGTCCTCGCGTGCGCGCACACGAAAGCAGAAAGCAGGCGGCCAAAAGCAGATGCCCACGTGCGTGGGCCCCCCCTCGTTCCCACGATCATAATTCCCCACCTCGTACATCATTTGATAAACCTCAAATTATGGACGAACACCAGAAGAACCCCACGAACTCCACCAGAGAGATATCCAGGCCAAACCAGGCCAAACCAGCTACGTCACTATACTGCGACTGCCTACGTACCCTCCACCGGGATCAAGCTAACCGTAGTTCTGAAATTATACTCCAACATAGTCTCCACCTCACCTCCATCTCTGCCCCCACAGGGCCATGCCCTCTTGGGCAACTCAACACGAGCTGATATGAAGCAAGTCCAAGCAATGCTGGAACTTGCTGCATGTGACCACCTTGGTTAACATGTCTGCGGGATTCTCATTCGTATGCACCTTCATGAGAGAAATATCACCATCCTCTATGACATCCCGCACAAAATAATATCTGACGTCAATATGCTTGGTACGAGCATGGTGAACTTGATTCTTCGCCAAGTGAATTGCACTTTGACTGTCGCACCACAAATTCACGCTCTCCTGCTCAATCCCCAAATCGTCTAGAAGACCCCACAGCCACAATGCATCCTTCACTCCCTCCGCCATGGCCATATACTCGGCCTCTGTTGTAGAAAGTGCCACTGTAGCCTGCAACATCGATCGCCAAGTAACTGGAACTCCATGTATCCTGAATACATAACCAGTAGCAGATCGTCGTCTATCTAGATCGCCTGCATAATCTGAGTCCACATACCCGTCGATCTAACATGTATCTTTACCAAAACACAGACCCGTATCCGCGGTACCTTTCAAGTACCTCAGGACCCATTTCACCGCTTCCCAGTGCGCCTTTCCCGGATTCGCCATGAATCTGCTGACCACACTAACCACCTGTGAAATATCAGGGCGTGTACACACCATTGCGTACATTAAGCTGCCAACTGCACTAGCATAAGGGACACGATCCATGTGTGCCTTATCTCCGCTGTAGTAGGAGATTGTTTACCTGAAAGCCTAAAGTGTGGAGCTGTAGGCTGTCTAAAAATCACAATAGATAGCTTATCCTCCATCAAACACCGATGATGAAAGTTACAATCTGACAACTTCCAGAAGGCTACAAGTTGAAGACTTTCACGTAGATCGCTGAAGGTTACAATCTGACGATATTCACGACAACCGATGAGAGCTCTAGTTCAACAGTATTCATAATCAACATCGGGAGTTACAATCTGACGACTCTCATATTCTCAAGGAGCCAAGACGAAGATTACAAGACAATGATCTTTGCAACGCTATGACAAAAGAGATTACTTTGTGATAATCTCTTCAAGACAAGATGCGGAACTCATCACCGCGCTCTAAGACCAAAACACGGAGGTCGCCGGGGTCGAACCCGCGTTACAACAAGCGAAACGTGAGCGACCCTCGCGTTCTGGATGTTCAGTCAACACCCAACCTCGCGTCTCAATCCTAAGACGCGAGGTTAGGGTCCTGAATGCCAGGTTAGGCGTTTGACGCATTCAAATATGAGTCGAACGGTTTCAGAACCGTTTTCCCCACGATCTGAGGAAATCACGCCCACTTAGGAGCGGATTTAGAGGGCAGTTACACCCCCTTAATCCCCTATAAAAGGAATAAACTCAACTGAGTTCAGGGTTGGAATTTCTTGGCTCAGATCGACCACTGAAGGCTGGCATTTTTTCGGATCTGGGACTTGGCAGCAGAAGAGATCGACATTCATCTTTTGGGATCAGTCCTGAGAGCCTTCGGCCTTGGCTTGAAAACCGATCCCCGGTTCAATTTAACTCTTTTTCAAGAGTTTCCAACTCGTGCAGAGTTATCAACTCATCCAGAGTTCTAAAACTTGCCACGCAAGTTCTCCACAATGTCAAATCGTGAGGAGAAGACATCGTTCCAGTGAATCAAGACGTGCGGATCGTCAACGGAGAGCAAACTCGACGTGAGCAATCGAGGGAGGCATTCCATCGCTACCAAGAAGAACTCAGTTTTAAACAAATGAGAGAATCAAATTCGTTCTCTTCTCTTTTGTAATCAAATTGTAATCAGAATCAAAGGAATACAAGTCAAATTTCTTTGTTCTCTTCTTTGCAATTTTCCCTACGTACAACCAACTCCGATGGTTTAAGGATAAAGTTGTCACCACCAACTTTGCACTTTGCATCCCGAACCTCACGATCACCCGCTCTATGTAGCCCTTCTGACTCAAGAACAATCGTCGATTCGCCCGCTCTCTTCTAATCTCCATACCCAGTATTTTCCTAGCAGCACCCATGTTCTTCATCTCGAACTCATTGCTAAGTTGAGATTTCAGCTTATCTATCTCCACCTTGTTCTTTGATGCAATAAGCATGTCATCCACATACAAAAGGAGATAAATATAATCACCCTATCTCCACCTTGTTCTTTGATGCAATAAGCATGTCATCCACATACAAAAGGAGATAAATATAATCACATCCACGAAGCTTCCGAATGTAAACACAACAATCATAGTCACTTCGGGAAAACCCATGCTTCAGCATGAAAGAGTCAAATCGCTTATACCACTGTCGCGAAGATTGCTTCAATCCGTAAAGTGACTTTCTCAAGCGACATACATGATTCTCCTTGTCCTCAACCTTGTATCCCTCAGGTTGATGCATAAAGATCTCTTCATCCAAGTCTCCATGCAAGAAGGTCGTCTTAACATCGAGTTGTTCCAGCTCAAGATCACCATGAGCAACAATACTCAATAGCACCCGAATAGAAGTGTGTTTTACCACCGGAGAAAATATCTCATTGTAATCCACACCCTCTCTTTGTGCAAATCCCTTAGCCACTAGCCTCGCCTTGTACCTCGTACCACCGAGCTCTGAAGGATCTTCCTTTCTTTTATACAGCCACTTACAACCTATAGCTTTCTTTCCTACGGGCAATGGGACCACCTCCCATGTTTGGTTTTTTCGGAGAGATTCCATCTCCTCCTCCATCGCAGCCAACCAACTCTCGCTATCTTTATCCTAAATAGCTTCATTGAAGGAGACCGGCTCATCTTCCTCCACCGAGAGTGCGTACTCAACCAAATTAACATGCCTATAGTGCTTCAGGGGTTAATCAGCCCCCAGCTTCTGAACCTGCTTGTATGCTCGCTGGCCTAGTGGAAGCCAAGCTATCCTCGAGCTGCTGCTGTTGTAGTGCCTGTGTATTCTCCTACTGAACCTCCTCTTGCTCAAGCTCATCATCTACCTGATTTCCCACTTGAACATGATTAGAACCTGGTTGGTCTTTGGGTTCTATCTCAATAACCTGGGACTTGGAAGTCCCAACAGTCTCAACACCATCATCATTGGGCACCCTAGTAATCATGGACTTCTCATCA